TTGTCTATTGTTGCCTGGGAGTTACCCATATTGTTTATTTATTGTTGAGTAAGAGTTTCCTATCTTGTTTATTGATGGGTCAGAGTGTCTATTGTTGGCTGCTCATAATGACAATCAGTTGACGTCTTATGAAGCATATCTGTTCATTGTTGAGTCGGAGTTACCTATGTTGTTGATTGTTGGCTGCCTCTAATTACAGTCAATTGGCATCTTATGTTGCATATCATATCTGTTTATGGTTGGGTCAGAAGTACCCATATTGTTTTTATTATTATTATTATTCGCTTATAATGACAATCAAGTTGATCGAATGGTGTCTTATGAAGCACATCTGTTGGTTGGGTCAAATTTACTTATAGTGTTGATTGTTATTTGCTCGAAATGACATTCAAATCGTGTCTTATAAAGCACATCTGACTTTTGGCACGTTTTTTTCTATTGAAGCTAATATTGATGTCATTAATAGTACAGAGATGTTGACTGACCCATAGGATTTAATTTACCCATCATGCCTATGTCGCTTAATATTCTGATAACAGCAGTTACTGATACTATGAATCGCAGTAACACAAATTAGTTTGGTTAAGGAATTTACATGTACGAATAAGGCAGACATATCTATTGTTAATTGCTCTTGATGTATTTTGATTGGTTAGGAGTTTTATATACATAAGGGTCAGAGTTTCATATATGATTCATGGTTTTGGGACAAAACTTATTACGATAAAGTATTAGTTCATTTAATCCATATTGTTTACTGGCAGTATATGCCTTCTTTCTTAGAGTTCTAATGTTTACTCATGTTTTAGTTCATATACCTCTTAAGTAAGTAATATCTATGAGGTGACACTGGAAAAATCCATACAAAGTATTGTTCCCTGTAGTGGATTCATGAAATATACTGTTAAGTTGTTAATATTTCTTCTGATATGTCCTTGGTCATATTGCCAGATTGTTGCCAACATTAAGTCATCCTGAATTACCCACACATTTATCATATATTATAATAATTGTGCAGGATCTGCTCATTCATCCTGAAGAAAGTTTCCTTTCTTTTGCTGTTGTATTGTTTGCTCATGTAGACCTAATTTTGCTTCCCAATTTTGAGGTGGTATCCTCCTTTGTGAGCACTTTGTATGTGGATGAGTAATGATAATAATAATTATAAAAAAAAAAAAATTAACTTTTAAGTACATTGTAGATACATCTCGAACAATCGGTGAGAACACAGATCCTCAGGAAAAGAATCCTTACAACCCTCATCATAACATTCCACTAATTCCAGTTAAGAGGGAACCAAGATGATCTCCATAGCCTGGGGGAACCAAATGAAGCTGTGCCTAATGCCGTGAATTTTATGTATTATATCTATATTTAAAATTTCAAAACTTGGTTGACACTTTTTGACTTTACCATGCAATAACCTTATATAAGATGCAGATACATGTATGTGCCAGCAAAACTGCAGCAGTGCTGCCATGGATGTGCCCTAAATCAGCTGAATGACCAGGATATCCACTAACGTTGGTTGGCATCCATACTAGCTAGATCATGAAATTTGGTTTCTTATAAAACATTTGCAGGTGAGTCAGCAAGCAAATGGTAAATGCAGATTCCAATTATCAACATCACAAATGATCACCTTTTACAACTGGCCTTTCTATTAATAAATTAAGGATAGGATTCTCACTTCTTCAGTTTTAATTACTTATGGGAGGGATATGTCCTTCAACAGGTAAACAATCCACTCTATATGCTAGGATTATCCAGTCAAAGAAATGAGTAATCTTTATTTGAATCAAAGATTAAGATGTGACAAATTTGAATATGACAGAATCAAGATTATTGTTCCTTTAATAAAACAAATTAAAGAATGTGTCTTTATTAATAAACATAATCTATAGGGAGGGAATTTGTCCTTAAACAAGGTATGCTTACAAATAAAATCACGGGTTATGTATCTTGCAAGAAAATATTTTATTGATGGCTTAAATAAGGTTTGGTATAGGATAATTATACCCCTTCAATTCATTACCTTTGTACTATGCATTTAGTAAACACCTTTAAGTTCTCTAGTTTAACATTAAGGCCACTTTCCATGCAATCTTATTTTTGGGATATTAGCTTATACTCATATTTAAACTTTCAAGGATGCTATTTACAAAATTCAGTATAATCTAGGAAGTTCACATTATATTCACGATTTGCTTTAGATCATAATAATATTAACCTTCACCTTGTAAAACTTATTCATACTGTCTGGTATAGCAGCATGGTATTTTCATCCATTAAAAGGAAATAATTCATGGAATTAATGTATACCACATTCTTGGTTCTACAGTTCTAAGAGGAACAGTTGTTTTGCAGGTATTATTGGGATTGTTGAATATTTTGTCCAATTTCTAATTCAAATCTTTAAATTACAAATTAGAATTAAACAGTTAAAAATAGTATAAATAGAGAAAATGAAATAATTCAAGGTTTGAGTATGTAAAATTTTCACTGACCTTGTGTCCTACTCAAGGACACTTTCACTCATCACTAGGTAGAAATTGCAAAATTTAAGCTTGCTTAAATTACTAGACCTCAAACATATAAGTTTTGTTCTACTCCCAATGGATAACCAGATTCTATAATGTACCGATAGTTCAAATGCTGGTCAGTGTTTAATTGTTGTTTTGTTCCACTCATGATAGACAGTCAGATACTAGGATGTAGTTTAAATACAGGTCAGTGATTTACTGCTGTTTGTTCTATAAACAAAAAATAGTCAGATACTACGAGGTAGTTCAAATACAGGTCAGTGATTTACTGCTGTTTGTTCTATAAACAATAAATAGTCAGATACTAGGAGGTATTTCAAATACAGGTCAGTGTTTAACTGTTGTTTTGTTCTACTCATGATAAATAGTCAGCTAATAGAATGTAGTTTAAATACAGGTCAGTATTTAACTGCTGTTTTGTTTTACTCCTACAAGATGAAGTACCTTAAGGAACATGTTCATTTGCACACTGACAGGTCAGTGAATAACTGCTGTTGGATATTAAAATACACCTCTCTTAACCTAGCTTGCTTGCTGTCTCATACAATACTTTGTGATTGTTATATCATTTATTCTGAAATTATTGTTATTTCATACTTTAATTACTTAGTAATGCCTATATTTCTTAACATATCTCGGATATTATTTTATAAGATGTTCTTCCTTCATTTTGTATTACATATGACATTTTCGTGTAAACTGTGATTATGGAATAATAATAGGAGGATTTTTCATTGCATAACTTTAAAATAAAATGTATGGAGAGGCCAGTGATTAACTGCTTCCATGAATAATTCATATTGTGTGCAAGCTCACCTTGAATGGCACGGATGTGATCTGCATGTCACATCTAACATGGATGTGACTTGCATGTCACATCTTGTGGCCTATTTTGTTTTTATGTGCCATCTTTTTGCTAACTTTTTCATATGATGTTTTCATTGTCTTGTCTTACAGATACTTTTTTCTAGTCAGTTTTGGGGGATCAGACATCATCATATTTTACGTAACTGCTAATCAAAGCTTGTGAATCTGATCCCCTTCTTGTTTGTTAAATTGTTCACATTTATACCGTCATTTTAATAAATGACATTATTCATCTCTATGAAAGTGTTTTATTTGACTTATACAAAATTAGCAAAAACAAGCTGCGGTGAGCTTGCATATAAGCATAAGAATACATAAAACAACAATTTTTAGAATAATAATTGTATTTATGTATTGAATGCGATAACTTAGTTGGAGGTTTCCGGTAGGATTAATTTTGGTAAAAAATATAAAAAATTCTTAGATCCACGCCTTGGTTGATGGATTACGTGTGATAGAAGGTGTAAGGTCACGTGGTCAGCTCAGCGAGTCATTCAGTTGTATTGTGATAACCCGCCTGCTGACCACGCTAAAATTAGAGGCACGTCTATTTTGAAGACCCTCCTCCACCCCTGCATTCCTACCCCTTAAAATAGGTATTAGTGTGTCATGCAAAATCATATATTTCATTAGTTCTGACTCGATTTGTTTATACTTTTTTTTATGTATTTTTATGCCTCCTATGAGAAATGTAGCCTGATAGAGCAGTGAAAAATAACTCAACACAAATATACAGTTTTGTCGATTATGTCATTTAATTGAATGACATAAATTAAAATGTTTAACAAAACATTAAGGGGGATCACTTAATTAACAATACCGGATAAAACATGTATATAGGTGGAAAGTACAAGTGTGATCCCCCTTAGACTGACTAGAAATATACATGTAGTGAAAATAAAGGAATACATGTACAAATGCATAAAATATAATATGAGTTAATCCTTGGAGGCGTCCAAACATTTTGCGCCAAACCAAGAATGTATGACCAAATATCGAAAAATACAATTTGATTTAAATGAACAATAGTACAAAACTGGACCCATAAAAAAGGGGAGGGTGGTGGGTTTTAATTTTTCACAGCTCTACACAGGCTACGGAAAATGGCGCAAAGAAAAAATGGTTTTGATTGGCTCAAAAAATCCGTAAATATCCGACGGTGTAAAATTTACCAAATTTCTCAAAGCTGCATAAATTGAATTATCTATGATAATATTGTTTTATGCCTCCTATGAGAAATGTAGCCTGATAGAGCAGTGAAAAATAACTCAACACAAATATACAGTTTTGTCGATTATGTCATTTAATTGAATGACATAAATTAAAATGTTTAACAAAACATTAAGGGGGATCACTTAATTAACTAACAATACCGGATAAAACATGTATATAGGTGGAAAGTACAAGTGTGATCCCCCTTAGACTGACTAGAAATATACATGTAGTGAAAATAAAGGAATACATGTACATATGCATAAAATATAATATGAGTTAATCCTTGGAAGCGTCCAAACATTTTGCGCCACAAGCCCTCATGCAATGAGGGATTGACGCCAAACAAGGAAAAAAAAAAAAAAAAAAAAAAAAAAAAAAAAATAATAATAATAATAATAAAAATAATAACAAAAAATAAAATAAAAAATATCCAAAGTAAAGCATACAAGACAGTAAAATGCACTTATTTACATCATTATTTACTTGTATAAACAACCTGAAACCTGAAGTACAACTATGTGGCTACATGTATTCAAGTGTTCATGATAGATAACCATATTGAAATCAATAAAGACATTGATTGTCCCCATAAGTGTTCGTGATAGATAACATACAGTCAATACTGAATCAATAAAGACATTAATTGACCACTGAGCATTGTTCAAATGAAATAAGTTTAGCCAGCAAGGGAAAACAAAATTAATGTGAGAATATTTAGTATATTTTTGAATTTCTGAAGTATCCCAAAGGTAATATAACTGAAACAAGCAGCTATCCGCTGTACAGGTCCCTAGTGTTTGAAGCAGGCTTTGATAATTTATAATATTGCCAATAAATGGGGCAAAATTTCGTGAGCAGAGTGCTATTGGTGAAAAATGTTCTGGGAACCAACCGCTTAACCTGGACCAAAACAAGGAGGGCTAAAAGAATTAATCCACCGAAAAACTAGATTCATATATCGTAAGCAGGCATAATGAGCAGCTAACCGCTGCACTCAGGAAAGAGTTTGCTACCATACACAGAAAAAACTTGACACATATACAGTAGGTAGGTTTAATGAGCAGCTAACCGCTGCACTCAGGAAAGAGTTTGCTACCATCCCCAGAAAAACTTGACACATATACGGAATGCAGGTTTTAATGAGCAGCTAACCGCTGTACACCTAAACAAGTTTGCTACCATCCACATAAAAGAAATCGAGCAGACCAAAGCTCATCTCAGTATGATTAAGGTTATATATCAAATGAAGAGATGCGGATGTATCTTCGAACTGCATTCGAGCGCCATCTTCCCAACTTCTGTATATAGTTCTCAGAGAAACCCAGAGATGCTGCATGAGTCGCTGCACCGATTCGAAAACTGTGCCCTTTGTACAGTTTTGGGTCGAGGCCGATGAATGAGACTACCTTGCATAGCTGTTGGCTTATAAAATGGTGTGTGACCGATTCCCCACTCATAAATTGAAAAAGAGGCCCTGAAGTGTGAGCAAAGTGAGTAGTATAATCATACAATGCCCGAACAGGGCAGAAGGTAATGGAACTGCTGTTTGAAAGATGCAAAGTCACTGGTTTTTGCTCAATGTTATTCTTGAAATGTTTCATAACAATGGTAACTCCTGACAAGATGCCATTTGAGATTTTGAAGTTAACATCAGAACGCTGTACCACTTGATTAGAGTTGTGCGAACGAGCAGCTAATTCCCCAATTCTTAAGAAAGCTTGAAAAGCCAGAAGATAGAACGCTTTGAGTAGTAGTCTATTACATAAGAGTGGCTCAGTAATGTCAATAGCTTTTATTATTCTACGTAAGATGTCTGTAGTAATTGGTAGTCTTGTGTCCTGCTGAGGTGCAAGTGCATGGCAACCTTTTAGTAGTTTCTTAGGAAGGAATTTTTCAGTTGGATCTGGTACGCTGCAGATTTTGTGGAGGTAGCCTATTGCTGAGACATGTGAAGATACTGAAGATGGGGCATAGTTTGCTGAGAAGAGGTATCCAATAAAATTGCACAAGTCTAATTCTGTCACTGGTAATGAGGTGTATGACGGTTTCCACTGGAGGAAGAGCTGCCAACTTCTGTAGTATGCCATTCTGGAAGATGTTGAAAGTGCGGCTTGGAGAAGCTGTTGGGAAGGTGCACTCAGATCTCTAGTAAATGGGAGGGAATGAATGTTTGTATAGGAGACAGATTCGGGGCAATGTTGGCAGCCTCCTGAAATTGGAAACGAGATAGTTTATCAGCTAAAGTATTTAGTTTGCCCGGGATATGTTTTGCTCTAAACAATATGTTATTTTCCAAACAGCACAAAACAAGGCGCCTAACAAGCTTCATGAGAGTGGTATCTTTTGATGATGTTTTATTTATAATGTCCACCACTGCTTGATTATCGGACATGAATAAGATTTTTTTGTTGCTTAACAATGGGGCCCAGACCTCTATTGAAAGTACAATAGGAAATAATTCTTTAATAGCTATTTGATAGTCTTCAAGATTCTTTGGCCATTTCTGAGCAAACCACCTATTTTCCAGCACCCCAGCAAACCCAACCGACCCTGCTGCATCAGTGAAAAGAGTCATTTCCTCTGATGTGACCCAATATTTTGAAAGAAAAATAGATTTTCCGTTGAATTTGTCAATGAAAATTTTCCACATATCGATATCAGCTTGAGCTTCACTGTTTAGGTTGATGGTATGAAAAGGAGTGGAAATTTTACAGGTAAGATTTATTAAGCGGCGTAGAAAAGCTCGTCCCGGCACCACGACTGAGCAAGCAAAATTAAGGAGGCCTATAAGAGACTGGATTTCTCTTAAGGAGGTCTTAGATTTGCCCTGAAATTCCTGTAATTTGTTTCTAATTTTTTCTACTTTGACTTGTGGTAAACGGCATTCCATGGAAACTGTATCTACTTCTATACCATAGATGGTAAGACAGGTTGTAGGGGGAACTGTTTTATCTAGTTTGATTGGAACATTCAGCCTGGCACAGAGAAACAGAAAATTTGTAAGGTCATTTTTACAATTTAACTTCCCAGGAGGACCTACAAAGAGAAAATCATCCAAAATGTGAGATATACCTAAGGCATTAAATTTTGCATACATTATCCACTCTAAAGCAGTGCTGAAGGACTCAAAAATTTTGCAGGAACTACTGGCCCCCATCGGAAGACAACGGTCATAATAAAATTTTCCTTTCCACGAAAAACCCAGTAGATGGTAGTCGTCCGGGTGAATGGGTACAATTCTAAATGCATCCTGAATGTCTGTTTTTGCCAACAAACTTCCTGTGCCAAACCTTTGAACAAGTTCCACCACCTTATCAATAGAATCGTAGCTTACTTTTGAGTTTTCTGGAGGAATGAACATATTAACTGAGTTTGTTTGAGGATAAGATAAATCATGTATGATTCGAAATTTGCCTGGCTCGGATTTTGGGACAACCCCCAGCGGGGACGATTTAAATAATAGAAAAGGCGGCGATTCGAATGGACCAGCTAACCTTTCTTTATGTAAGCCTTCTTGAATGAACGACTCTATGATTTCTGGGTGCTGGGCACAGCTCATGTGATTTTTAGAGATATTACTAGAAGGAAAACCTTGACAACCTAAATGAAACCCCCCTGAAAAACCTTGTACTAATTTTGTGTGAGCTTGCGTGTCATAACCAGAGAGGAAGGAATTAAGGTTTTTTAGGTTTACTGGTGTCGGCAGAAGAGGTGCTGGATTTGGATTGTTTGGGGTAGGTGACTTCCCTGCAATTGAGCTTTGGGTGTGGTCCTCTGCATAATTGGCAGATGTGTTGGAAGCGACAGGGGAATGATTTGCACTTGTCCCCCCTATTGTAGGCAAAGCAGAGTTTCCCCCCTCTGGTGAACTGTCTGGGCTTGCGAAAGGTATCATTTGTATGTTGACTTTTTGATTTGGAAAACGCTTTGATGCGCAGTTCCTCCACTGGTTTCTGCCAAGGAAGATTTGTTGATTGCCTCAAACGACGGAAGTTTTCATCATAAATACGCCAAGCCCCATCGTTGGATAGTGTGTAAATCTCTCTAACCAAACTGCAGTATTTTAAGAGATTGGGGGCTTCTGAAGGATGCTTTTGTAGAAAGATGCAGGAGAAAATAAGGAAGGCGTCAGTCCATTGATAAATTGTTAATGGGGATTTTGACTTGTTGCCATGTTGAAAGTTGATGGAACCCGACTCAATGGTTACTGATACAGGGTCGTCAAACTGATTAGGTAGCAGGGATTTTAGATCAATGAATTCATTGTCCCAAATTTTTTGTTTTGTTTTTTGACTAATCCCAGCCCCCAAAGGAATACCCTCTGAAATGTTAATAGTGGTTAGATTTTTTTCCCTTGCTGACTCACCTGTTTTACTACTAAAAACATTATCAATTAAGGCCAATAAATCAGCAGGCTGTGTCGCTGAAGATGAAGCCCCAAGTGATTGGCCTGATGTGGATGGAGCTGAAGTGGATGGAGTCAAAGTGGACGGACTTGAAGTGGATGGAGCCAAGGTAGATGGAGATGCCGAAGTGGACGGAGCTGAGATGGACGATGAATTTGGAATAGGTGCACAACTTTCAGATGCAGCGTTTTGTTGTTTGATGATCTCTGCAGCTAATTTTACGTAGTCCACTTGAACACCATTGATGTTGTGGGCTGCAGGTGGGGTAGCTTCAACACGTTCCGTGCTAGGTGCGTTTTTTGCTGCATTCGGAGTCCTCTTACGTTTTGGGGGCTGTGCAGTTTTAGGTGGCGATTTTCCTCTTTTTTGCCTTGGCATTGTCCCTGTGTTAAATGAGAAAGAATGTAGAACACATAATCACATTAAGAACTACATACACTTGTAGCCAATGTGTAAAATATAATAATTCTTATAAATTATCTGACAGCCCTTGTAATCAATAATGTTAAAATATCCTACCAAGCATAATCCAACTGGTTTATACACTTATATAATACAAAGCCTTAATAATAGGCAGATAACCATGGTAAGTACTCAACAAATCAGAAGTTCCAAGGCTGCATTAGGACAACAGAATTGTAGATGCCATGTGAGCTACCAAACAGAGACATTGCACTTAACCCCTACTTGCTGTTTACTTATGGTCACATTACATTAAACATCTACAAATGTATACAGGGACAAGTATTGGCACTCATATAGCCCCAAAACCAACTGTTATACTGAACAGCTTCATGCAGATGTCATACTGGGTATTCCTCTATATATATAAACACAACTAGACATGCTAGAAGCACCAATGGACCCACCTGTTATACAAACCAATTGTTTGGTAATGCTTTACATGTTTATATCAAGTGATGCTGTAATCATAATTCTATACTGAGCATTATAGAGTGATGTCATGATAATACAAATGCTATACTGAGCTTTTTAGAGTAACCATGGTAACGCTATAAACCTAATAAATTTACTAATAATTTTTAGAATTATGTTATGATTATATTATGCTATACCGGATATTTATAAAGGGATACTATAAACATAAATCATGCTATACTGAGCATTTTCCGAATGAAACTATGAACACAGAATGCTATACTGAGCATTTATAGATTTATAGGATGATGCTGTACTGAACATCATTCAAGTTGACCAAACTGTTATACTGAACAGTTATACATTGATGTTTCATTGTTTTACTGAACATCACTTAAAGACAAATCATGATAAACAATGCTATACTCAGCATTTATGATTTTAAAATGATGATGCTATACTGAACATCATTCAAGCTGACCGAACTGTTATACTGAACAGTTATACATTGATGTTTTACTGAACATCACTTATAAAAACAAATCATGATAAGCAATGCTATACTGAGCATTATGATTTATAAGGTGACGCTATACTGAACATCATTCAACATTTTCACGCTGCTGAAAACTGTTATACTGAACCATTGTATATCAATGGTTTACTGAACAACACTGAAAGAAAATCATGATAAGCAGCATACATTGTGTGATAAAAGGTATGTATCTGTGAAACAATTAGATGACATAAAATTTTCTTGCACCATTTTGCCTGTGTTTATTATAGTTTGCAGCTAATACAAAATGACACATTTTGGATTCAATATTATTACGCTGCTCTAATTATGCAAATACATACGAACAATTCATGGTTTTGTTATAGTAACCAAAAACAAAATACTGGCCTTAATTGCCCGGAATGCACAATCACTGCATTCCTGATACTCTTCCAATATTTGTACATTGGCGAAGGGGGATCCCCGGGCTTCAAATGCTTTAGAGGGGGGTTGTCAAGGTGTACGCCGTCCCTCGCTAAATGTGACAGGTTTTGCCAGAAACCCCTGTGTCTCCAGAAAAAAATGTTCTCGAGTGACTGAGTCTTTTCTGTAAGGAGGCGGTTAATTTCGAAAACGGAGTCGTTGAAACCCGCAGCATTTACAGATGGGTCCCTCCTAAGAAGCTGACCAATTATAACCCTCTTCGCGTCCAAACCATGAATCAGGAATTCGGAGAAAGAGATAATGTCTGTGACGATCTTTTCATTGGGTAAATGACCAATGTCATTGCCGCCTATTTGTAGAAAATAAGTATCGGGCGTTCCGGGAATTCTACACAGCATCTGTCGAAGGCCACATGTACGTAGCCCGCCCTTAGCGCACACAGATATTTTGTAATTTGCGGGATCTAACTTTAAGTTCTTCAAATCTGTATTAAAGTTCATGAACTCCAAGAGTCTTCGTATGTAAGAATGTCCCAGGAGACAGATGTGCATAAACTGCATTTCTACAGAATCAGAATTGGGATCCACCCCCGCCATGTTTCGCCCATGCGGTTTACATAAACACAAGAAAATTAAACACTTCTAAGACGTACTTGTCTTGAATATCTAGTTCTTTAGTGTTACTTTGGTGTTCCTAGGACAAGGAATTTAAACACTTACAAGCTTATGTGTCTCAAATATCCGTAGATATCTTTTTAATTTTTCACAGCTCTACACAGGCTACGGAAAATGGCGCAAAGAAAAAATGGTTTTGATTGGCTCAAAAAATCCGTAAATATCCGACGGTGTAAAATTTACCAAATTTCTCAAAGCTGCATAAATTGAATTATCTATGATAATATTGTTTTGTTTTTATGTGCCATCTTTTTGCTAACTTTTTCATATGATGTTCTCATTGTCTTGTCTTACAGATACTTTTTTCTAGTCAGTTTTGGGGGATCAGACATCATCATATTTTACGTAACTGCTAATCAAAGCTTGTGAATCTGATCCCCTTCTTGTTTGTTAAATTGTTCACATTTATACCGTCATTTTAATAAATGACATTATTCATCTCTATGAAAGTGTTTTATTTGACTTATACAAAATTAGCAAAAACAAGCTGCGGTGAGCTTGCATATAAGCATAAGAATACATAAAATAATTCCTGTATAAAATAATTCCATTCATCTTAGCACGTTTAAAGTGAAATTTCATCAATTATATAAGAGATATCAATAACATTATATCCGCACAAATATGAGTACATGTATATTGCTGTATCTTGTTTTTCTGACATTATTCAAAAGAATACCAAAATGATGTCGAGTAAAAAAGTTTTAACAAGAATAAAAATGATGTTTAAAGTATCAATCTGAGTATTAGTTGAATTTTGCTTAAGATAAGAAAAAATATCATGTATAATCTTTATCATAAAACTTGCAGTTGGCTGTTATATTACCAATAAAATTTTTTCCTTGTAAAATATTCAAATATGAAACAGATCCTATGGTATCTTTTGTTTCAAGCTCATTGGAATACATCTTGTCGAAATATATGAAAGGAAATAACTAATTGCAATTTCTTATTGATACTAGTAATACGTGGTCGATATATCGAAATGTTGAGTTAAAGCCCACATCAAGTGTTTTCTTCTACTCATGCATAAGATTTTGTAACTAGAACTTCACAATGCTTACAGAAGTTCCACAAGCCAACATGAAATAAAAACTTTCACAAGTATGATATCGTTTATTTTTTCTTGTTTTGTGTTGTTTTTATGAGCTCAACATTTCAAAGAAAAAGTAAATCTTATAAAACATGTTTAAAATACGAGGGTTGATCCAAAAGTAATGTCACAGTATCCATATCTTTTATATTTGTAATTTCTGCTATATGAATACAAAAATCTCTGCTATAAACGGGACTCGAATGTCATCCTAGGGAAATCGACAGACTGTTGGAAAACCTGGTTTCTTCAAAACTTACATAGATATTGTCAATCAAAAACTCAATGATCTTTTTAATATCATACTTGTGTGTATAGTAAAAATGTTTTATTTTTCCAAGAAAATTATTTTTGAAATGACCAATGACAAGGTCAGTACAATTATGAGTTTCCTTCTTATTGAGAAAAAAATCAACCAATGTCTATGTCAGAAATACATGGATTTAATTTATAGTAATAAATCCATCAGTCTATCCACAGAAGAAATATGGAATGGTATGTGTGAGGAAATTTAAGCAATATAGCGGACGTTGTTCAAGCGAGACTGGGGTTAAATTTGCGTTTACTTATTATTTAAACGATGTCATGCTCCAGATAAAAGAGACAGTTTTTTAAAACCAAATGACCTTTACTTAGAAAAGTTGTGTAATACTATTATTTAGGTCACATTTATTTTTTAAAAATGTTATTTAAACTTTGCGAGAATAAGGGCAGATATCATGATCGCATGGTCTAAAGGAGACTAATATGAGAAAAAAAATCAGAATTGACAAGAATGGAAAATGACATAAAAAAAAGAACTCCAACTATTATGATTTTTTGTATATCAATATTGCTAGCCGGATGGGCGTCTTCATTTGTCTTTTTTTGCTTGCTGTCGTTGCAGAGATTCTTTGTATTGTTGTCGAGGTGCTGATGTGTATCCAAAGATGTTCCGCTTAGATGGAATAATTCCTGTATAAAATAATTCCATTCATGTAAGCACGTTTAAAGTGAAATTTCATCAATTATATAAGAGATATCAATAACATATGTGTACATGTATATTGTTGTTTCTTGTTTTTCTGACATTATTCAAAAGAATACCAAGATGATGTCGAGTAAAAAAGTTTTATCAAGAATAAAAATGATGTTTAAAGTATTAATCTGAGTATTAGTTGAATTTTGCTTAAGATAAGAAAAAATTACATGTATTGTAACTAGAACTTCACAATGCTTACAGAAGTTCCTCAAGCCAACATGAAATAAAAACTTTCACAAGTATGATATCGTTTATTTTTTCTTGTTTTGTGTTGTTTTTATGAGCTCAACATTTAAAAGAAATATTTTCTTATAAAACATGTTTGAAATACGAGGGTTGATCCAAAAGTAATGTCACAGTATCCATATCTTTTATATTTGGCGGCATATTATCAAATACAATGTACCAAAGGATGCACAAATATAAATCTAATTAACATTGTAATTTTTTAATAATGCTTATTTGAATTTATTTCATAAATGTTTAAAACATAGAGCTTAAGGGGTGTCGCCGCGTCACAATGGAACGTCACGTTTCAAAGTGTATTTTTTCTTCGAATGATATAGACACATTAAAAAGATACTAAAAAAGCACCTAATCTCCCAATTTTTTAAAAGACACAATTCTCGTCATTTTTAGTCTTTAATTGAAAATTAAATGACGGCATTGGTATTTGTGATCATTAACATTGTTGTTTTATTTTGTTGAGTTGAACAAAGGGATTGTCGAAATGGGATAAAAACGATTCGAAGAGTTATAAAGCATTTTTTGCTTCAAAATATAGGAATTATCACAAGCGACAGTTACTTTAATTAGTCAGACTTACAGAATGAAGAATGTAAATAAAAGACATTTAATAGATGGTTTCAGCAATTTGTGTGTGATCAGCAGAGGAAAACGACCGTAAGAAAATTGAAACATTTTTTAAATGAAAAAAGACAACGCATAGAGTGACATGTGAATTTTTAAGTTTGTTTTTGCTACTGTTCGAAAAATTTTG